ATGACTTTATTCTCGTAATGTTACAACTTTATGCTCAAAATAAAAAATAAAAAAAATCTCTAGCCTGGCCCTAATACTCGGTCATACTTTAGTAAAAAACCGATTGAATGACTTACTTTTTGGTGTTTTTGGAAGCGTATGGCGATTTGACCTTAAATAGTTTTTTTTGTTCATAACTAAATCGATACACGCCCGTTGAGGTAGATCAAAGTATATTTTTCGTACAAAACTTAAGGGATAACCGTAAATCTTACATTTTACATATGCGTAATGACTATTGGTATGCTGGTCTGACAGAACACCAGCTGCCAGGGCTATAGACGGTGTGATTTGTCCCGGTTTTCTTCTCACACCAATTCATCACTTGAGGCATAAACCAGGCCAAACGATAATTATTTTTTGGTTTTAACTATATTTTCCAGTTTTCATGTCCGTAATGTTTAATGTTTTGCTGATAAAATAACCAATGAGTGAATCTGCCATCTGTCCTACCCGTTTTTAGCCGCGCCACTCCCTCCGTCTGACGGTGGGAGGGCAGCGCCTCTCCTGCACCATTACTCCTGCCTGTCAGCTCTGATATAATTGAATTCTTGACCACTAACTGGTGCCACACTTACATCCCATCTCCCACATCCTCCTTACTCACTGAGCTGGACAAGTGCACGTGATTGAGAAGTCGATAAGTTTGCAAGTGCTCCGTCCATCTCTTCTACTGCTGCGGTGCGTACTGCCTTCATTTGGCATTCAGCCATCGTTTGGCTGCAATTTGCTTCTCATTCAGGCCTGGGCTCTTAAAACATCCATCCGTTTAAATGCTCTTCCTCAGATTCTCCTCCATTATGCTCTTCGGGTGGAGCTATTTATCACACGCTCTGCATTAGGAGAACAAATGATCATCTGTGGCTGAAGCTACATTAGATTTAAGATTCAAAAGATACTTTTGAATAATTTGTAATTTTCCGATTTTCTTCTGAAATGGGCTCCTTAGATGTTTAAAAAGAGAGGATCCACATCTGTCTGTAGGTCTGCCTTCTCAAGGCAACAGAGTAAAACAAAAGCCTGACGAGAGGAAATAAACCTCAACGTTCCGACTGCTTGGGAAAACAAAATCTCTGTACATTATTACTCTGCTTTCTACTCTAATGTATATTTTCACAGCTAAAAGGTTGTTTCCTTTCCTTCTTGTTTTGGTACCATTTGTTTCACATGTCTGTTATGTTCCTTACGGAACACTTCACTCTCAATCTGCAGGTTTACTAGTGGTTCCTAGAATTTCTAAAAGTAGAATGGGAGGCAGATTTTTAGTTTTCAGGCTCCTCTCCTGTGGAACCAACTACCAGTTTTATTCCGTGAGGCAGACACCCTGTCTACTTTTAAGGCTAGGCTTAAAACTTTCCTTTTTGATAAAGCTTATAGTTAGAGTGGCTCAGGTTATCCTGAGCTATCTCTATAGTTATGCTGCTATAGGTTTAGACTGCTGGAGGACATAGGGACCCCTTTTCATCATTCTTCTTCATTTTATCTCTATTTTTCCACTCTGCTGAATTTGTTACTTCCGTTTCTAATGTTCTGCTCTCTCTGCTTTTTCTCATAATGCTTCGCCTCTACTGTTCCCTTTTGGCTGCGACACAATCCTGGAGAGAAATATCAGCTGTGCTGCTGCCATCAAAACCCTTTTTTTTATAAATGTTGGAGCTTGGCCTGTTTTTCACTGTAGTCCTGTTTCTCTGACTGTGACTGGCTGGATGTGCTCTCTTTTATCTTTCTGACATGGGAGCTGGCTCGGAGCTCGTCTGCCTGGCTGTATGTTTCCTGGACGAAGCTGCCTGTTGAGCTGGTTAAGAGTTGCCTTTTCTATCTCTGCTTCTGTCTCCTTGAACCCCAGTCGGCCTCAGCAGATGGCTGCTCAAACTGAGCCTGGTTCTGCTGGAGGTTTCTTCCTGTTAAAGGGAGTTTTTCCTCTCCAATGTCGCTACAAGCATGCTTAGTGTGAGGGATTGCCTTTGAGTCAATGAGTCGATGCAATCAGCTGGTTTTCCTTAGATAGAAAACTTTGAATCAGTCTGACTGGATGATCTGGTTGAACTGTAAAGTGCCTTGAGATGACATGTTGTGAATTGGAGCTATAGAAATAAACTGAATTGAATTGTGTGTAAAACAGGGGGATGACTGACGGTGATTAAATATAATCTGATTTTTTTTGTACATTTCCCTCTGTTTTAGGGAAAATATTCCACTAA